GCCCGGCCCCCCCGCCCCAGTTCCCCTGGCCCAAGGTAGTCGCTGCGAATTTTCGCCGTTTCGAGCCCCCCCTGAAATTCGCGTCGCTTTGCATCCGAAACCGGTGCGTCTCTGAGATTATTGCGTTGGTGGGCCTGCCCCGGATCTGCTCGGCTAGCGCGGCTCTCCCGGGCCTCTCGAGGTGTCCTCTCGCCTGTACCAGGGCGGCCGTTGCCTCCTGCAGTCCAATCTGACCTGCGCCCTGTCATACTCCTCGTTTGTCGCCGCCTCTGTAATCTGCCCCCTCGCCCCCCCCCCCCCCCCGCAGCAATTCCACTCTTCGCCCTCTGACTTCGCCGGCAAGCTCGCCCAATGGGATTTTCGAAGGATTTGCGCCGCGACTCTCCAAGGCAGACCTCGATGCCTGCCCGCGATGCTATGATGCTACATCCGCCGCTGTTCCCCCCAGCAACTCGCAACCGGCTACAATGCCCTCCTCCGACTTTTCCTCGATCAAAACGAACAGCCCCTCTTGCTTGCACACTGCCTTCAGACAACTAACTCACCAAGGCGCCCCTATCCAAGTCGGACGTGCACTCTGCTGGCCGATGGATGCCGTGGGCGTCGTCAGTGGCGCGCAGGCCCTGCCCCCCCCCCCCCGGACCTCTCGCGCCTGGACCTCTCCCCCGCGCATTTGCGCGCGTCGAGTATTTAACTGGCCTTCCCACTTTACAGCTTCTCAATGGATTACTATGCGGTCGGTTCTCGACTAAGATCCCCGGGTGCCAAGATGCGTCGGCCCTGCGCCTGCTGCCGTCGCAACTGCGGTCAGGTCGCGGGCCCCGCGAGCCCCGCGGAACGCCGCGCCGCTAGCGTTATCCAGTTTTGGTGGCGGCCCTCCAAATGGCCCCCGGCACAGTGCGCTGCTGCGCCGCCGCGCGCTCTGCGCATCCCACAGTCACCGTTGGCGGCCCCTTCCCGCCGCCGCCGTCGCCCTGCCCCCCAGCCCGCCCATCCCCCAATTCGCCGGAGCGGCGCTTCCCGCTGCCACTTGCCATTCGGGGGGCGCGCTCGCGCGTGCACTGGCGCGAAGCAAGAGGAGTAGAACGCGCGATCAATCTCGCCGACGCATATTCTAGCGCCTGAGATCCCCTCTATGCAGTCCAGCTTGTGGCGGCGCTGGTTTCCTGGAGGCACGTTGCAGCGTCGCCTTGTCGGGCGGCGCCGCCGCCCCGCTGGGCCCGTTGGTCGCAACCGGCAATGCAGCCAGCAACCCGGCGCGCGCGCCCACCCGCGGCCATCCTTCAGTGGGACTTCAAGGCAATGAAGCGCAGCTTATTTTAGGGGGCGCAGGGCCGCCCGATGACCGCCCCGGCCCTGCTCCGAAAGAAAAAAAAACACGCGCCTGGACATTGTAGCGCGCGCGCGCGCGCCGAGCCGTGCGAGGCCCAAGTGGGCCGAGACCAGCCGCTCCTGGAGCGCGACTAAGAAACTAGACGGCCAATGGCGCTTCTGTCTCGGATCCTCAAAAACCTCTGGGGGCGGGCGCGCAAACGCCCGGATCGCCTCAGCGCGTGGGCCCGACGGCCTGGGATTCCCGGCAAAACCAAGGGCAGCGACCTCGAATGATCGCGCAATCGGTGGAGATCTCCTAGCAGGCGGCGCCGGCGATTCCAGCGCCCCCCCCGCGCCGCCGCCCAGATTCACCTCCACTTGAATGGCGCGCCTATCGCGGACCAAAAGACCCCCCCGCGTCGCGAGCAGACCGAACGGGCGCGTCGGCGCTGATGGCGAGCGCACCGGCGGGCCGCGGCATCCAAATATCTGGCGCGTAGACCAGTCACCCCGCCTGAGCATCGAACTGGGGGGCGCGAAACGGACGAGCCAGCAGCCGACTTTCTATGTGTGACCTCGGCCATCCTGACTGGTACAACTGCATGCTATAGCTCGGCGCCGGCTGGATCTTGGTTCGGTATATACAAGGACGGAGGGGGGCATGGGGGCGCGCTGCGAGCGCTCGTCGCTGTGGTTGTTGCCCGCGCTGAAGCCTTTCCTAGAGAGGCCGCCCAAGCATCTGATGGGGGCCACTGGAGGGCCAATGAAGCAGCCTCAGATGTCGGCGTCGCCTGCAACTTTGCCGTCGAACCAAGACGGCCGAAACGTCGTTAGCACTGCGCGCAGGTGCTTTGCGACATCATCTGGAACTTTATCAAACAGCGGGGCAACCATGCATGTGCGCGTGTTGAGCGCGAGGTCAGCGAGCTTCCTGACTAGAAAGAATATCGAAACTTGGCGGGCATGCGCCTGACGACGCTAATTCATTTGGCCACGCCTATATCGCCAGGGCGCACACGGACCAGCCCCCACCTGGGGCAGGCGCTGTGAAGCTGCAAATCCAAAGCGAAGGGGTTGGCAGCGAAAGTGATCCATGCTCCCGACAGCGGGCGCCCCTGGATGACGCCCGAGAACATGAATAATCAAGATAGGAAGCGCCGCCGTGAACGAAGGAACACGGGTTGAGGCGATAGAGGACGGCATCAGCATATGTGAAGCCACGTGGCACAGGAACAAATCGAACAATCATGGGCGCCCACTCATGCCAGGCGGAAGGGAAGGCCTGGGAGAGACGAAAGTCGATAGGAAAATGGAAACGGGTGGGGCCCTTCTACCGCCGAGCGCTGGTTCCCCGAGCGGCCGAATCCGACTACACAGCGCATTTCAAGAAATCGCGTTGGCGGGCGAACCCCGCTTGGAGAGGGCAGCGAGGCCTTGGGGAGCGAGGGTGAGAGAGCGATCGACGACGGCAGCGGCAATCTTGTTCGAGGTTTCTCAAGCTAGAAGGCGGGCTTCACCACTGGGTCGCGCGAAACCAGTAGATGCGGGGTCCTCGCCATCAACGGGCTCGGGGGCGCATGCTTGCAGACAAGCAACAACTGAGGGGAACACATGTTTGCCACGGAACACGGACAACAGTACCTGGCGAATGACCTTGGAGCCCGCACCGACGAGCCAGGGTGGAAGCGGAAGGCAATCGGACCAGGGGCGGAGGAGGATGCCCGACGAAAATGCGAATTAGCTCCACGGAAAGAAGGGAGGAGGTCCCGAATATCCTTTTCCTGGGGAACTAAACTCCTCAACGTGCATGGGGGCGCTGGCAGATACAGGCGTGCGATTCGCGGAGATGCAGGCCCAGTCGTTATTCAGTTCATGCACTCTCTCCTCTGGTGACGTGACACCTTTTTCGAGCATGTCATGAGACGCACTGCTCGACGTTCCAGCAAGACGCTTGCGGCGGGCAAATGAACACCAAAGGCGCGCTCTCCGCGCAGTCGCATCGCGCCGAACACGGACCCGCTGATGCATCCTAGGCCAGGGCTCCTACTGGGCCTCCGCCTCGACATGGGTTTCAATCGCCCCTGCTCCTGCTACTGGAGCGAAGAATGCGTTCTGAAACTTAACAGGATCCGACAGCAGGACAACGCCGTCCATCGAGACCAACAGGTGCGAGCGAAAAGACATCGAGCAGCTTTGCGATCAGCTTTGATACCCCGACGAGAGACGCATCGCGCAACGGACCTGGCGAACGTGGCCCGAGACAAAACTGAGCGAGCTTGTGCGGCCAAAAACATCACGCGCAGTTCTTCCCGCAGCTGGGCGGCGCAACGTCGCGCGCTGCAACGCATCGGGGGCATCAGGCACCTCGAAGATAACACAACTTTCGCATTCAGTCACGAGCTTGGTATAGAGGGGAGCCGAGAACACATGTGCGCTAGGCCCCTTGTCGCGCGCCACGTCCATGCGCGAGCGCGAACGCAAACATTCTTTTCGCAACTCACGACGATCGCACCCGCAGCGTGTAATTCGCACTTGGAGTCTCCCACAGCTCCTGCAGGGCCAACTTTTCACCCAAGAGGGTTCTTTGATGACCTCTACAAAACCCGACAGCGCTCCCATGGCTGCCGAAACGCAGGAGAGACGCCTGTCGAGACGCGCTGGCGCCAAGTAGCCCGGGCTGGCGCGAACCCCGGGTCCGCCAGGGCCATGTCGCGAACCCTGGGCCAACAGGACAGTAGCTCCCAAACCCAGGCCAGCGGCGGCGGGGGAGGGCCCACGTGGCTCCCGAAGCCAGGCCGGCCAGGAGGGCATCGGCCGATCCCGTCAGTGCTTATACCCCTGTTGCGTGAGCTCCGGACCAGGGCTTCAGGCCCCGAAAACGTTGATTTTGGTACACAAGAGGACACTAGCGTGCCCGAGAAGGCTGCAGCCGTGGATCGAGACATCCCCCAAGGTTTCGTCTTCTCCGGCTGGACTGCGCAAGGCAAATATTTGTTTGCTCGAATCTGGACCCCTGAAAAACTGAAGAGAGCAATCTGCGGGAGGCTGCGGTCTGGGTGAAAGCGGCCAGGGGGTCTGAACTGAAGGAATACAAACAACTTGCCAAGAGCGGCAGACAAGGCCGAATCAGCTCAAAATCCGTCCCCGTTCTTCGAGCCGCGTCCAGCCGTCGTGACGAGGGGGTTCCTTTCCTCCCCTTTTCCGCTGGCCGGAACCAGCCCAGGCATGCGATGTGCAGACTGTTGTTCAGCAGGGGGCCCCCGAAGTCCCGACCCCTTCCCCGGGGCCTGTCTTTCGTCGCGTTTCTCTGTTTGGCTGGCCAGGGGCCTGGCGATTGATCTTAGAGGCCGAGAACGGCGAAACATCTCCTGTCTGAATTTGATCCACGACTCGAGCATGCCTACGGCAGGTTCGTGTCGTGCCGACCCCAGCGTTGGTTTTTGACACCGCAGGGATCGTTCAACCTTGAACGATCGGCCGCTGCCGCAACGTCCGATCGTTCAACATCGATCGATGCTGGGTCGCCGGCGGCGCTCAACCTTGAACGCCCGCGCTGGGGTCGCCGCGAGTCGACACGACGCAAACCTACCGTACGTAAGGCGGGCCAGAATCAGTGCTCGGCCACCTCGCCTTCCCTGCTGGCTCCAAAAGGGCCTGGGCCCGGGCGCGCGGCCGCCCGCGGAGGCCTTGGCCACGGAATCGTCCCACGCGGAAGGCGACGCGCCCACCAAGAGCCTCGTCTCCGCCTTCAGGGACTTGCCTGTCGGGGGCGGGAAAGAGATGAGGAGGAAGAGGAAGAGGAGGAGGAGGAAAAGGAGGAGGAGGAGGAGGAGGAAGGGGAGGAGAAGGCCGAAGACAGGAGGAGGATGACGACGCCGACCACGACAACGATGATGATGCTGATGATGATGATGATGATGATGATGATGATGATGATGATGATGATGATGAGTATGACGATGATGGTGATGATGCGGCTGCTGCTGATGATCATGATGCTGATGACGATGATGATGACGATGACGATGGCCATAATGATGATGATTCGAAGGATGATGCTTGTACTGGTGATGGTACTGACAATGATGTTGCTGATGGTGATTGTGATGGTGATGGGGATGGAAGTATGTAAGGTGATGCTGACCACGATGGTGATGATGATGACGATTATGGTGACGACGATGGCGAGTATGATGAGGATGTTGATGATGATGACGATAGTGGTGATGACGACCATGACGATGATGATGGCGACGATGCCGCTAGAGATGATTATGATGATGATGTGTAAGATAATGGCGGTGAAAATAATAATGGTGATGATAGCGATGATGCTGGCGATGGTGGTAATTATGCTGACGATGCTGAAGATGGAAATGTCGAGGATGATGCGCTTTGGTAGTAGTGGTAGTAGTGCTAGTAGTAGTGGTCGTAAGGGTAGTGGTAGTAGTAGTCGTAGTGGTAGTAGTAGTCGTAGTAGTAGCAGTAGTAGTAGTAGTAGTAGTAGTAGTAGTAGTAGTAGTAGTAGTAGTAGTAGTAGTAGTAGTAGTAGTAGTAGTAGTAGTAGTAGTAGTAGTAGTAGTAGTAGTAGTAGTAGTAGTAGTAGTAGTAGTAGTAGTAGTAGTAGTAGTAGTAGTAGTAGTAGTAGTAGTAGTAGTAGTAGTAGTAGTAGTAGTAGTAGGAGTAGTAGTAGTAGTAGTAGTAGTAGTAGTAGTAGTAGTAGCATCGTCGTGATAGTAGTAGCAGCAGAGCAGCAGCAGCAGCAGCAGCAGTAGTAGTAGTAGTAGTAGTAGTAGTAGTAGTAGTAGTAGTAGTAGTAGTAGTAGTAGTCGTAGTCGTAGTAGTCGTAGTAGTAGTAGTAGTAGTAGTAGTAGTAGTAGTAGTAGTCCCAAGGGTAGTACCCGGGGTAGTAGTAATAGTCATGGTAACCGTCATCCACTGTTTGGAGTCAACGCTGTAGTAATAGTCATTGTAACCGTCATCCACTGTTTGGAGTCAACGCTCTATTTGGAGTATTGTGCTCTACTGCATTTTAGTGCACTCCGGACTCTACCTTGAGCTAGACTCGGGATTCGACTCTACGCTAGTCTACTCTGAGCCCTTTTATGGGCCCTACTCTAGTCTACTCGTCTCTACTGGTATCTTTTACTACTCGACTCTAGGCTACTCCACTCTACTCTGCCCGATTTTAGTATGTTATATATGTATCAATACCCGACTCTACTCTACTTCCTACTCTACCCTACTCGAGTCTACTCTACTCGAGCCTGCTTTTCTCTTCTCTACTCTACTCTACTCTACACTATTCTATGCTACTCTACTCGTTTCTACTCCATCCTACCGTTCTCGACTCTGCTCTACCCGACCCTTTTCTACTCGACTTTGCTCTGCTCCAGTTTACGCTACTCTAACATTCGAGTAGTTTGACCATTCCAAAGGCAATATAGGTGGCTGACTGTGGACCAGTTCTCTACGGTTTGAGCTAGGACTATGGGAACATGACGCGGACGGGGGATTGGCGGCTCCCCAGTCACCTTCGGGGAAGAGAGGACTATAGCAAATCTGCCCTGGCACCTTCGTGGGGTCCACCTGGCAAGCTTGTCATCCTGGCGGTCCTGGGTCCCACATGGGCCCCCAGAGGTCGAGGTCGAGGTCCGGCGCGATTGCGTCGACTGGAAGCCTCTGGCGCCCCCCGGAAGCCTCCGCCCAAGAAGAGCCAGAAACGCCCAAACACCTCGGTCCTGCATGTCAGAAAAACATTTCAAGCTGCCAAGAGGAAGCCTGATACCCGATCATGTAGGGAAGAGCCTGATGGTGATGGTGATGGCGATGATGATGGTGAGGATAACGTCGATGGTGATGATGATGATGATGATGATGATGATGATGATGATGATGATGATGATGATGATGATGATGACCCAACACGAGGACCCAACGCCACAGGATGATTGGAAAAAACATTTGAAGCTGCCAAGAGGAACCCTGACACCCGATCATGTAGGGAAGAGCCTTTCGCGTTGTGCCCCCGAGGCCTCCCAGGGCCAGCCTCCGGGGCCCTCGTCTTCGTCGTCGTCGCTTGCTCCCCCGACGGCAGCGGTTGGGGGTGGAGGTAAGGAGAGGGGCAGAAGGGGCAGGGGAAGGTAACAGGAAAGAAGGAGCGAGGGGAAGAAGGGGCAGAGGAGGAGGGGAGAGGGGAAGAAGGGGCAGAAGGAGGAGGAGCGCAAGCAGCATGGCTCGCAGCGGGTGCCGAACTCATCTACTTGCTGATGGCAGCTTGAGCTGAACGCAGAATTTGAACGCATGATGGAAAACAGTTGGGCGGGGATGCAGCGTACCGTACTTCGTAATACAAGTGGAATAACAGCACTGCGTATGCATGGGCGTGCTCTCGCTTGAATTGGGAGGCAGTGGCGGGAGCGCAAGCCCGATGCGAGTGATGGGATCGGAGGGGCGAGGGGAGCGGTATGGGTGTGAAAAATTAGAAGGGGGTGCCCAGCGACAACCAAAAGGAACCGCCTTCCACGCGTGTGGCTGTTGTACACACCTCTCGACTCCTGGTCACTAAGTCTGACGAGGTCTCACGCGAGAACACCATGTTGAAACAACATGCACCCTTCATCCGTTCAAGTGTTGCACGGTGTTCCGTGAACGCTTCCGGAATTCGACTTGAGGAACTCTCGAGCGGAAGTCTCACTTTGAAAAAGGAAGCCCCTTTATCCGCGTGGCAGTTGGAGTTGTTTAGGACGAGGGTTCTTAGCGATAAGGCGAGAACTCCATGTTGAAAAAAGGTTCGCCCTCAATTCTTGTGGCTGTTGGAAACAAAACTGTCAGCGATGTCAAACTTCAGTATCACAATCGGTGAAGACGTCTCGGGCGCAACGCCCGGCCCGCCCTGACGACGCGTTTGGTGGTGCGACAGGGAGGACTTCTTCACTAGAGTGAGGGGGCCGAGCGTTCTCAATGTCCCTGGGCTCGTGCCTGAGGTGTGGTTCCACTGTGCGGATGAGTGCACTTATTGCCGGCTCCGCTCCGCGACCCACCCGCGACCCTCTCCGCGGCCTGCCCGCGACCCGCCGCGCGATTCGCCCAACGACCCGCAACCGCGGGGGCCAGTGGAGGGGGAGAGAACGAGGACCATGACCAAGACTGAACGCGGAAACGTCGTGCCGATCTTGGTCAGCGTCCACCTTGGGCAGTGTCAATTTGTGGATCATCCTCGCGAATTTGCGGCGGCCGGCATGGACTAAGAAGATCGAGGTCGCCAAGATACCGCGACGTCTTGGTCATCGTCAGTGTGCTTCTTCCCTCAACTATGGTAAGGGAGAGGGGCGGAGGACGACGACGAAGAGGGCTTTCGCTTTCTGCCCCCCGAGCCTCCCAGGGCCAGCCCGCGGGAACCGTCGCTGCATAGCGCCGCTCGTCTCTGGGCCGCCGGGGGGCCCAGGAAGGGCAGCACCGCGAGTAGCGACGTCACGAACGTCAGTTGCGCGAGCGCCGTGACGGCTGGGGAGCCAAAGGAACAATCTGAGCACGCTGTCTCGTGGGGGGGTGGGGGGGCGGCACGTCGGAAACGAGCTGTCTAGGGGGGTGGCACGAAAACGGCGCAGAAGCCCCTGCTCCGAAGGCCCAGGCGCCCATGGGAATGCCCCCTGACGACGACCATTCGAAGGTGGAAAGAACAAACGGGAAGAACCTACGGGCTCCCCTCTAAAACCAGGGTCACTCTTAACCCCTCGAGCCAGCTGCGAGCGGATTGGCCAACATTTCAGCCAGCGCCAACGTGCACGCCCGCCACCACCTGTCCTCCTCGATCCTCGAGGCTCGTCGATCGCTCCCGATCGATGATCCGAGCTTGTAATATTTTGTTGTATGTTGTTGGCCTCCTGCAGCCGCCGAAAGCCTCTGGGGATATCTCGACATTCAGATACGTTTCCGAAGGCCTATGGAGACCTCCAGGGCAGGGCTCTCTGGGAACCTCCTCCTGGAGTCTGTGTCCTGAGAGCGAGCTGGTCACAGTGCGAGCAGCACCTATGCTGGAATACTCCCAAGACAGAGGCCTGGCTCAGCTCGTGGGGCCCTTGAGGAATGCCCAGCCCAGATGCGGCCCACATTCTCCACCCGCTCCTCCAGGTCTCTGGAGACCTCCACGGAAACGGTCTTGGAGTCTGAGCCTCTGGAGCCTCAGACATATATATATATACATATATATATATATGTATATAGACATGTATGTATGTGAATACATATGTATATGTGTATATATAATGTATGTATATATGTGTATATGTGTGTTTGTGTCTGTGTGTGCGTGCGCGTGAATGTGTGTGTGTGTGTGCGTGTGTGTGTGTGTGTGTCTGTGCTTGTGTCTATGTGTGCGTGCGCGTGTGTGCGTGTGTGTGTGTGTCTGTGTTTGTGTCTGTGTGTGCGTGTGCGTGTTTGCGTGTGTGTGTGTGTGTGTGTGCGTGTGTGTGTGTGTGAATGTGTGTGTGTGTGTGTTTGTGTGAGTGTGCGTGCGTGTGTGTGTGTGTGTGTGTGTGTGTGTGTGTGTGCGTTTGTGTTTGTGTTTGTGTGTGTCCCGAGGTCGTCCCCTCTGTAATCGCTCCCGCGCTCGTCCCCTCTCTCGGATGCCCCCCCAAGAGACGCCGCACAAAGTGGCTTTCTATGGGTGAACCCTGTGCTTCTCACATGGCCGCATGCGTCCCCAGCCGATTCCATGATTTCGGGGAGGTATCGGGCGCTTTTCCGGCTGTCCGACTGCATGCGATACGTCGCTACGCGCCTGGTCACCACGTCAAATAAGCTTGTCAGTATGTGCGGGCGTGTGCGGGTGTGCGTGCGTGCGTGCGTGCGTGCTTGCTTGTTTGCTTTTGCGCGCGCTTGGCCCCGCCCGCGTGCCTGCTGCGCGGCGCCCCGTGATAGCAGGGCGTGCAAGAGCACGCGCTTTTGTGTGTGTGTGTATGTGTCTGTGTGCCTGTGTCTCTGTGCGTGTGTGTGTGTGTGTGAGGGCCCGTCTCTGCGCATGCCCGTTTACACTTGGCTCCCCAAGATGACGATGATGATGATCGTGCCGAGGCTGAACGTGTTGAAGGGCGCCGGGAGCAGCAGCGACGAGGCCCACGCGATCACCAGCACCGTGGCGGAGACGACGACGACGCGGCCGCTCTGGGAGAGGGTCGTCACCAGGGCCTGCTCCACGGACTCTCCCGCGGCGCGCTCCTCTCTTGGGCGGCGTGCGCGCAGGGGCTCACGAGCGATCAAAAAAAACAGGACAGCAAGCATAGGAATCAACACGGGCAGTCGATTCGAGAGGGGGCGGCCTGCAGAAAGAGGGGCAAAAGGGGCTTCCCAGGAAGGGCCGGAGGCTTCCGAGAAGCCTCCCTGGAAGCCTCCAGCCTCTTGTGCGAAGCCCCCTGTCTGAAAAGGCAGGGGGGGTTCTCAGAAGGGGATCGGGAGCTTCCGATAGCGATACCACCAAGGACGCACGCGCCCAGCCACGTGCATGAATATGGCCCCCCATTCTTCGAGGCCAACCTCGTGTTACGAACGATCCCGCAATGCGCGCTTTCGAAACAAACGTAGACTTGTGTACGTGTACGCTCTTCTTTCGCCCGTGATCTGAGTAGGCTTCGCAGAAGCCTTTGGCCTCTTCGAGGCGCCCCCTTGCCTTAGAAGGCCCCTATGCCCTCTCGAACGCGCCGTCGATCCTCGGCGTAGCGGGTGAGCAGGAAAAGGGAGTAGTCGAACGAGAGGGACGTGCAGAGCATGAGCATTGTCATGATGCAGTAGAACATCACAGTGCTCTTGAGCGACACAAAATAGGTGATGCCGAAGGCGGTGAGGATTTCCACAGGCAGAGACACTAAACACAGCATGAGCATCCGGGGACTGCGCAGGGCAAGCGCGAGGATCAGGAAGGGCAGCCATATCGTGGTGGCCTCATGAACAGGCACCTCTTCGATGATGGTCTCTTTCATCGCGAGATCCAGCGTCACGAGCCCAGTAAGACGGACAGAGAGTCCATCGGCCCCCTGAAACATGTTGATCTCCTCTACGAGTGTCGAAACTGTACGAATCAGATCTTCAGACTGGCTGGTCATGTCGTCAGGGACGCTCCAAACCCAGAGGAGGAGGATGCTCTGCTTGTCTTTTGATATCAGCGGGTTGTCCCCCAACTGGTGGTGCCCGGTGAAGGTGAAATAAGAGTTGACGCGCACGTTTGCGTTCGGGTACGTGCTGTTAAAGCGTAGAACCAGAGAGGAGATCTCGGAGACTATGCCGCGGCTGGCGTCACTGGCAGCGCTCGCGCAGTTGGTGCGGCAACTTATGACCACCATCTCGCGTCTCACGTGCGAGAGGTCGGGGAAGTGCCGCTGGAAGAGCTCCAGGGCCTCCCTGCTTTCGGTGCCCCGCGGTGCTTCCTTCGTCATCGGTGCCGCGTTGAGGAGCAGCAAGTACGCGCACGGTGCCAAGCATGCTGCCGAGATGACCCAAAAAGCAATGAGACAGAACCGTAATTTGAAAACAACTCTGGCGACGATGGATCCTGTGACGGCATCCGCTTCATTGTCGGGCTCTGGCTCGCTGTCCTGTGAGTGAGGGAGAGGAGCAAGGAAGGAATGAGGGGCGGGCCTTCCTGAATGCGTCCCTCCCACGGGGCATCGGCGACGGCAGATTATGTCCAAGGCGCGCCAGGCACCCTGGAAAAACTCTCTTTTATATGATGTCGAATGGCGGTTGAGCAGGGGTTCCTTCAGACAAAAGCAACAGAGGTCCCCAACGCGTCCAAACGTTTGTGGCCACTTTTGCCTGGCCCTTCTGGCGCACGAGTGTACCGAATCAAGCGGATCAGCCGCCGATCCCGAGTGGGAGCTGGAGCGAGAGCTGCAGAAGGAAGTCAGAGGCGCTGTAGGCGGCATTGCGTTCCCAGACGAATTAAAATGCAGAAGAACCGCATGTCTCCTTGTTCCTCTAGTGTATAGCTTCTCTCTTCTCCGCTCCACCGAAGTCATTATCCTTTATTACGTCACGCCCGCTCGGCCTCCTCTGTTTGTTTCCTCGTCGTGCACGCCCCTGCCCGCTCGCCTCGTTTTCCGGAAAAGGAGGAGGAGGAGGAGGAGGACCACAATCAATCCAACATGCGTCAACGATGCCGCAGAGATGCTGCAACGCACCTTGAGGTCGTTCAAATTTCTTCGTAACACATCACATATACATATGTGTATGGTTCACTACGACAAACGCTGCCTTGAAAGACCGACTCGTGCAGGCGAGAGCCCCGTTTTGAAAAGGAGCCGCCCTGCACCAGCCTTGTTAGCATCGTCGGCGCGTAGATGCATATCTGCCGAGCAAGAATACCATCGCTGCTGACCTCGACCCGAGCAGCTGATGACGGATTCCAGCGTATGGTCGTACACCATAGCGAAATCTCAAACGAGTGCACATGTTTCGACATATGTCAAGACAGTCTGAACGACATGCGGGATCCCAATCTTTAAACAGATCCTCCACAGTTTGCGTGACGTGTCCGGGCGTTTAACAGAATGCTCGCGGCGCTGGGGCGAGAACCATATTTTGAATACTATTTGGGCTCCACCAATGCATGTGTTATAAGCTGTTGAGGCGCATGCGGGCGACACTCAGACGAATCAGCGTTTTCAAAACTACCCGCCTCCCATCCTCCATGCAAATGCTGGAAACTATGACACAAAGTACGCGCGGCGCTGAGACGAAAACCACGTTTTCAAAACAACTGGCTGATTACGGCAACTGCACGCGGCCATAGGCAAGAACCACATTTTGACACCGACCAACCTTCACATTCACCCATGCAGCTGCTGGAAACGGTTAAGACGAACTCGCCCTGCGCAAAAGCGCGGGCCAACATTTGAACACAACCGAGCCCCCATCCGTGTATCACTTGGGATATCGTAGGACAAATGTGCGCCGCGCTGATGCGACAACCGCATTTGAAACACGGCCCGCCCTCCATCCATGTCGATGTGTAGAGGTTCAAACCTCGCCGATCAACATGTCGATTAACTGCTTCCTGTGAGAAGTAGAGGTCGCCCTGCCGCCGCATCCACTAGAGCGACGACGATGAAACACTGATGGAAAAACGTGACAAAGAACACCAAATTAAGAACGAACGCACAGGCGGAATTCACAGAAAAACGATGTCAATGTCACTCCAACGTTTTTGGGACCTCAACAGCACCGGCACGAGGAGAACTTATCCTCGGCTTGTCAATCGTTCGTCGGCGCTTCATGCTCAGATTTGCTGAGGTCACGGCTGGTCACACCGAACAAAATGTGTGACGCTTATATGTTCTCCAAATGCTTGCCCACCGGAGTTCAAAGCTGCTACATATTAGGGCTCTGCGACATTGCCTCGGGACCAAGGTTCGACCTTGCATGACGCTGGTTGCAAATGTACCCGAATAGGCTCACGCAAATATACATGGGCTAAGAAAAACTGCGAATTGGATCGATACAGCCCAAAGGAAACAACTTTGCTTAAAACTGGGGCAAGGCATCGTAGAATAAACAAAACCCCGGTGCGGCGATTAAGCTCACCGCCCACCCGGCCATAAAGAATTACTCTCCTTCCATCCCTTTCGCGTCATACAGCTCCTGCTCCATGCCAAAGGCCAAGACCGAAGGCCCCGCGCGTGTTTATGCATCACGGGCTTTACCCAGACCATGCGCAAGACTGCACAAGCAAACAAGGACAGACTTCGACAAGCCCCTCGCCCTTGACGTGTTCGAACAAGAGTAAAATAGCATCACGTCGGGAAGCGCGTGCTAGCGCAACGACCAACTGGCAGGGCGAATGAGTTCTGATGGGCACGGCAATTGTTTGAACAAAAGCTTACACCAGTAAAGCCGATGGTTGACTAAAAAATGTAGCACCCCGCAATTCGGTTGCGGGCGGGTCGCTGGTAGGCCGCGGGTGGGTCGCGGGAAGGGGGTCGCGGGAGGGTCGCGGGTGGGTCGTGGGTGGGTCGCGGCTGGGTCGCGGCTGGGTCGCGGCTGGGTCGCGGCTGAGTCGCGGGCGGGTCGCGGGTGGGTCGCGGGCCGGTCGCGGGCGGGTCGCGGGTGGGTCGCAGGTGGTCGCGGGCGGGTCGCGGGCGGGTCGTGGGTAGGTCGCGGGCGGGTCGCGGGAGGGTCGCAAGTGGGTCGCGGACGGGTCGCGGGTGGGTCGCCGGCAGGGCCGCGACCGGGACGACGACAACAAACAACAATCATAACAACAACAAGAACAATAACAATAACAATAACAACAACAACAACAACAACAACAACAACAACAACAACAACAACAACTGCAGCGACAACACCATCAACAAAAGCAACAGCAACAGCAACAAACACAACAACAACAACAACAACAACAACAACAACAACAACAAGGCCAACACCAGCCAAGCACAACAACAACGACGACGACGACAACAACAACATAAGCACAAACAACAACAGTCCTTGTAAGACTGTTCGATATCACCTGCTCGCGTGCCATTCAACACGTATATCCCAAACCCTCAATACCCGCCCTCTTCGGCTTCCATCGGTGTAATGGGTGCAGCCCCTAAAAAATGCAAAAGAGGACGGGTGGAAGGAGGAGGGTAAGGGATGGAGCACGGGATTAGCAGGAGCGGGGCTAAGAACAGAAAACACGTGGCAGAACCAGACGGGGTCATTGGGCGGGTAGACCCTAACGGGCGGGCAGGGAGGCGAACCCGAGCGGCCAGGTCGAGAAGGCGGGTTGCTGACGCGTGAGTAGTGCGTTAATCGCGGGGAAGTCTCGAGCGATAGCGGGATTCCCTGGTGACCCCCAAGATAAACCGCAGCGAGAGCGCGATTCCTGAGCGTCGAGGGCGCGGCGTTTGAATCAATTGCGAGGACGCCCCACGCGAGAGCGCAATTCCTGCATACATTGTGAGGAAGTCCCGCGCGAGAGCGCCATTTCTCAATACGACTATGAGGCTGGAGCCGCTGTGATTGCAAACCAGGGGCCAACGACACAGATTTCTGACCCCACACGTTCCTTGCAAAAAAACTAGACGCGGGCCCCGGGAGGAGCACTTTAATCGAAAAACACACTGGTCACCGGGCAAGGGGGGATCAACAATAATATTTTTAAAGAAATATAATTTCAAAAATAAACCCAATCCGGACCGCGGAACACCACTTCAGCCATACACCTCGGGACAGTGAACGACCGTTCGGCCCACTCACTCGATTTTCATAACGTGAGCGCATGTGGCCACATAGTTTGATGCCGTGGGGGTGTGTACAACAAGCCAGGAAACGTCCGCCTGATTATAGCATAGGGGCATAAATATGCATCACACATTCTTTACAAGGTATGGTATTTCCACTATGATGAGTCGCACCAAATTGCATGCTATATTAGATGTAGGGCGAGTGCACGTTCGGTCCAATACCTCACTGATGATACTGTGGGGAATGCCGGACCTATATGTGGTGGCCGGTCTGGACTGGTCTGGCTTGGTCGGGCATGAATGGAAAGTAATTTGCATGACATTCGGGTTCGGATATATGAAGTCCAATGGTGCAGGTGGGCCCGGGGTAGAGAAGAGAATGGAGTAGAACGGTGTATGGGGGCGTAGAATCATCTACTTGCGTAGTGCAATCTTCCAACCCGCCCACCCACTCAGAAATAATCACACTCAGTCATAGCCCTTCGCATCAGACAGCTGCCCAAACATACCAGCGGTCTTGGATAAAATGGCCGCGCGCGTGCATGCGTCGATCTGCAGCCAGTCCATGCGCAAGACCGCGCAAGCAAATATGCTCGACTTTGACAAGCCCTTCGCCATTGCCGAGTTCAGCCAACAACTTGATGACAGACCCATGGACGCCCGCAGCATCTGATTCTGGCAAGTTCGAGCGCGCAGACCCTCCGACAGTGTTGCAAGTCTTGGTCAAACAAGCAAATGCACTCAACATAAGGATCATAAGCATTTTCGATTGCACTGTATCTTAGCTGACATCCAATCGCGGGCGCACGTGTAGATTCGCACACACGATGATTCATGCCCAATGCATTGAATGATTTGCATAGGCAAGTGCCCGGGCCGCATAGGGCATCGCACTGAATACAATGCTTTAATCAGTAGGACGGCCGGTGGGTCCAGAAGGTCTATATTTTTCAAGCAAGAAGAAACAACGACTCACTGCACACCGACAACTGACAGCTTTACAAAGGTGCATCTGTCCAGGAATACCTCTCGGAGGAGGTGAACAAATGATCCTTAAACGGACTCGGAGCTCGAACGCCCAGCAACGGCGGCACATGTGGATTACCATACACTGCCACGACGAACGCTGAACGGAATATACGGCAAAATCGCGCCTGCCACGGTTTCCGCCAGCGCCCGTTGGGTCCAGAAGCTATATTCAAACATAATGGAAAGAGCCCAGGGCCCGACGGACTCAAAAGTATGATAGGGTAGCACTAGCAGTATTAGAACATGACAGGGTAGGGGTATAGAAGTATGAGGGCGCGGCAGGGTGGGAGTGAAGCAACGGGCACGCCATCCCTCGCCTTCCCCTCCCTCCCTCCCCTCCTGGGCGCCTCGTCCTTCCTCCCCTTTCCTCCTCCCCCGTCGCCATGTCCTCCTGGGCCCCCGATCCCCTCTCTGATCCTCCCCCGTGCCCCCCTCAGGCGGAGGTCCTCGACGAGCTCGCTGAAGTCCTGCTCGTCGCACTTCGGCAGCGGCCCCGGGTCGACCCGTCGAGGCCGAGCCCACTGTGGCAACATCTGCTGCGCGGTCCGGCGTCGCTGGCGATGCCCGAGTGGGGGCGGCGTCCATCGGCCGGCGAATGCTGTGGCCAGACTGGGGCTCGGATCCTTAGAGTTCAAGCCAGAACGGCTGAGGGCGGTGATGATAATGCCGGGAAAAAATTAGCAGGGAGAAGCGCAGGTTTGGACGGCGTAACGTGATTGCTCTCCCTCCCCCTCCCTCTCTTTCTTTATTTCTTCTTTTGTTGTTTCTCTCTCTCTCTCTCTCGCTTCCTCCCTTGCTGCTGCTCTTGCATGCTTGATCGCATCGGTCCGTCTGTCAATGCAAAGATTTGACTCGAAACCAACTGATTCCAGGTGAACCATTTTTTTGACAGCACCTGCTTTGGAATAGTCTTCGTACATTGACGAGGATGCAGAGGGGAAGCGAAGGCAACGTGCGACGCACCAGCTGTTGGCAGCAACACTAGCGAGAGAGCGCACAGCCGTCTCTACTGCCAGTCGAGCTGCACCACTTTATGCGGGACGAGATCAGCCGCAGCCCCTGGAAAAACACGGTGATGATTTCATGCCGCGGTCACGATCGGATTCTCTGTGATAGGTGGTGTCAGTGAGCAGACTGAGCAGACCAAGCAGAACCGGATGGAACATACTGAGATGTCCAGCAACACTAGACTGCGCAGACTGAGCGAGCCGAACTGACCGAGCGGATAGACGGAGTGACCGAGCAGGCCTGGCGGACGAAGCGGACCGCGCGGGCCGGACCGACTGGAGCAGACCGAGCGAGCGGACCTCAGAAACCGAGCGGGCCCGGCAGACGGACCGAGCGGACCGACCGGGCCGAGCAGGGCGCACACGCCGGCCCCTCGGCGCGCAGGGACCGCCGTGGGGCTCCCTCGAACGCCCGCGCGCGCAGCAAACGCGAGGGGTGAGGCACCAATAACCCCAGAGCGGCCTCCGCCCGCGGAGCCGCCGCCGTTTTACTTCCGCCGCCCTCCGCCGGCTTTCCACCGCCTTCTGCCGAGGAAGGAGGTGGCAACTCATGCGGTCCTCGAGCGTGGGGCCTTCCTGAAGGCCTCAGAAGGGCTTGGCCGCACGGTGGGGGGCGAGGGATCACGTGCTACAGCATGACGCATGCTGAGACAATAACCTACATGTCGACGGCGACTCTGCGTGTCTCACCGGGCGGGCCAAACACACACCCATCCTGAATCGCTTCGAGCCCACTATTCCCCCACACTTGAAGTCGGATTCTTGATTTCTCTGAACACCCCGCGTAGTCCCCACATCGTATCTCACACACCCTCTCCTCCTCTCCTCGTTTCACACTCACCATCACCATCACACCACATCCCCTTCGCATCCAGTTCTCCTTCTACACTCAGTACGATCACCATCACCATTACGATCACCATCGCCACTATCATCGCCATCATCATCATCATCACGTTTCCATCGTCATCATCAATACTATCATCATCCCATGATGACCATCAGTTCGCTCATCATCAGCAACATCACCATCATCATTATCACGACCATCATCATCACCATCACGATGTTCATTATCATTACCAGTATCATAATGAAGATCAGCATCGTCATCATCATCAGCAGCAGCATACGCGCAGTCAAGTGCATCTGCATCATCGTCGTCGTCATCATCACCATCGTCATCATGATCGTCGTCAGCATCCACGTTCTCCTCCCACACGTAAGCACGCCCACACTCACACTCACTCGCACATCCCCGCAGTCGTATTGACGACCTCTCGATCGGGAGCCTCGCCTGTGAGTGAAAAGTAAGGAGGTCTCGATCGGGAGACTCTCTCTATGGGCTCCGCTCTTCATGTTCGAATCCCAGGCGGTCATCGGCTCACTATAGCAAACAGAACGTGTGTGAGCACACATGGAAACGACTCGTGAGAATGTCTCGAGCGGGGGCCGCATCTTTGAATGAATGGCGAAGCGAAGCGAAGAGAAGCGAAGCGAAGCGAAGGGCGCAAGTCCGCCGGAGCGGGACCCTTGAGGGTCGGCGCGGGCGGGCCGGGACCCTTACACCGTGGTGTCGGAGATGTTCATACAGAAGCCGTCGCATGCGCGATAAATTGTCCCTCCAATCTGTGCCACACACAAGTGTCGCAGGCAAGTTGTAACCACCATCGGCAACCGGTGTCGTCGGATGCTCTTGTGTCGTCCACCAGTTTGTGCGATATCAAAAAGCTGACGATATCATGATCCCATCTTTTCCGCTGTCCTCCGTGTTTCCTCTGCGCGGGTCGTCTGTCATGTACTGGGGGTTCCCAGACGGCGGCACGTCGTGACCAGCGGTCAGTCTATTGATTTGCTATGCGGCAAGCCCACCGCCACTTCTTTTTGAAATGAACTGTTGTCCAAGATTGGATCTGAGCTCGTTTGGCGTGGGCGTTAGCAGTGTGCGTTGCTCTCCGGACGAAATCGATCCAGGATTCCGTGGTGCAGGAGTCAGATGTGCTTCCGTCGTCGCTGTTGTCGTTGTCGTGGATGCTGCCGTTGGAGTCGCTCTCAAGCGTTGTGGTCTCTAGATTCGTTTTCTCCACGTGCTCGGAATTGCTGGCCTGATGTTTCAGTTGGTCGTTGTTATCAGGGTTTTTTGTCGTGCGCCTCCTGCTGGTGCCAACTATTATTCTGATCATCGTGCGTTGTGTCCGCTGTAGTGTAGTGAGCATGTCTTCAGTAAGAACCCAAGAAGTACATCCGTACGTGACAGCAGGCGTCACAGTCCCGTTGAAAAGTCGTAAGCGGCTAGCGAGAGGATAGTGTTTGCAAGTCAGTTCATGCCTCACCTGGTTGAACTTGCGCCATCCAGAAGCATTTCTACAATTGAGCTCCTTTGCGTGGAAGCCATGGAACATGAGTGCTCTGCCTAAGTACTTCGTGCTCTGCTCCGCTTCCAAGATCTCAACGTTTTCCCCGTCGATGGTGACACATTGAATTGTTCTGGCTTGGCGCCGGGTGACATTCGTAAGTATTTTGGTCTTGTCTGGGTGTAGTTCCAGGCCACATTTGGACGACTGGTTCTTCAAGTCGCAAAGTAAGCATTTCAGTTGGCGTCTGGAGCAGAAGTCCCATCCCCGTTGGGTCCCCACTTCACATTCGAGTCCCAGGCGGTCATCGGCCCACCATAGCAGGCATAACATTTGAGCACCCTCAAGCATTGAATCGTGAAAATGTCTCCGACGGGGGCCTCATGCGCGAGTGACTTGCGAGGAAGTCTCAATCGGGAGCCCTTTCTCGATGGGGTCCCCACTTCATACTCGAATCCCAGGCGGCCATCGGCCCACCATAGCAGGCATTTGCACCTGAGCGCCCCTAGGAGGCGAATCGTGAGGATGTCTCGAGCGGGGCCCCATCTCTGAGTGAATCGCGAGGATGTCTCGAGCCGGGTCCACATCTGTGTGAGCATAGCGAGGAAGTCTGGAGCGTGAGCCTCTTTGTCATGGGGCCCGCACTCCAGGTTGGAAGTCGAACGGGTCATCCAAAACACTATATTGACGCGATGCGAGCCCTCACCAATGATGAGAGTCCTCGCCTCCAGGTTGGAGTCCGAGTGGGTCATCCAAACGCTGTAACACGGTGATGCGAGCCCTCCCGGGCAAATCCGAGCGGGATCATCCAAACCTTGTAACGCTCTTCACATGTGGGCTCCCCAAAAAGCCACCCCCTCGAGCCATCAGATGAGGAGGAGCAGGAGGAGGAGCAGGAGGAGGAAGAGGAACGGGAGGACGACGGCGGCTAGGCACAGGGGGAAACCCTTGTGTCTGGGCCGCGGGTGGTAACCCATCCGCGGCCGAATCGGGCGCAGGGGGAAAGCCTTGCGTCTGGGGCGCGGTTGGTAACCCATCCGGGTCCGAGACAGGCGAAAGAGGAAACCCAAATGCCCGGGTCGCCGGTGGTAACCCATCGGCGGCCGAATCGGGAGCAGGGAGAAACCCTCGTCTCCAGGCCAGCTGTGAATCCATCGTATGCCGAACTGGGCGCGGGGGAAAACTCTTGCGTCCCGGCCGGGGGCTGGTAATTAACCAATCCTGGGCAGATTCGGGGACATGGGAAACCCTTGTCTCTGGGCTGCCAGTGGTACCCAATCGGCGGCTGAATCGGCCGAATTGGGCTGGATGAGGAGGGGGAAGGAGGAGTAGGGGCATGACGATGACGATGACGATGACATGGTGTCAATGATGGCAGTGATTATGATGACGACGATGATGATGATGATGATGGTGATCATAGTAGTGATGGTGATGGTGACGATGACGATAATGATGATGATGATGATGATGATGATGATGATGATGATGATGATGATGATGATGATGATGATGATGATGATGATGATGATGATGATGATGACGGTGATAATTTTGATGGTGATGGTGATGATGATAGCTATAGTGATGGTGATGGTGTTGACGTTGATGGCGATGACGATGATGCTGATGACGACGAGGATGGTGATACTTATGATGATGATGACGATGATGATGATGCTGGTGACGATGGCAACGACGATGACGATGCCGATGCCAATGCCGATGACTGTGATGCTGATGATGGTGATGGTGATGATGCTGGTGATGAAGACGATGACGATTACGCTGATGATGATGATGCTGATGATGATGATGATGAGGAGGAGGAGGAGGAGGAGGAGGAGGAGGAGGAGCGCCCTCCAGGCCGACCAGGAGGGTTCTACACGCCGTTCGTGGGCCTGGGATGGCCCTGGCTGGGCATCGCTGTGGTGCATCTGTGCTGTCTTCTGGTGGCATATCGGCGTCTGGCTGGCAGCAGGAGGGCCCCGAGATCGATGTCCCCCCCCCCGTAGTCGGTCCCGCGTGGTTCTGCAGCCAGAACTGGGGCCCGCGGCGGCGAGGCGCGCAGGTGCTGGAAGGCAGCCCTAGACTGGAAAGCAGCTGCGAGAGTTCAAGAAACCGCCCGCAAACCTCCGGCGAGCGAGAGCGTGGAGGGGCGGTGGAGAGGTGAGGGGAAACGATAAGGAGGGGGGATTGGGGATCGGCATAGGGGGGGAAACATCGACCTGGTCGCCGATACCTCGCTGATGGATCGGCGATAGACCCCCGATAGCAAATTCGGACGTTCCTGGGCGGCGTGGGGCTATCCGACCCCTATTGGCGATCAATGGGCGATTGGGGGTCGATGCAACCCCAGAAGTGTCGCCGCGCCGCTTGTTCTCGACGCGCCCAAGTGGACGACGCCGACACCGCGGCAAGCCCACGGCAAGCCCCGTGCCCCGCGCCCAAGCAGACGACGCCGGCACCGCGGCAAGCCCCGGGGCGAGCCCACCGCGCCCGCGGCGGCGTTTGCCCTGGTGGTCGCGGCGCCCTGCCCAAGACGGAAGGCCGCGCGTCGGAACAGATGGCGCTGCGACGCGTGCCCGTCCCCCATCCCCTTTCTCGCTGCCCCTGGGGAGGGCAGGGGCGCAGGAGGGGGGCTCCGGCACGAGCCAGGGCGCGCTCGGGGAGGGGAGCTCCCCGGGAGGCTCGGCCAGGCGCCCCGGCCGCTGCCGCCGCCGAGGCCGCGGCTCCCTCCGCCGCCGCCGCTCCTGAGGCGCGCCACGGCCGCTGGTGGGTTACGGGCATCTCGATCCTCGAAGTGTGATCCTCGATCCTCCCCCACGTCCTCCTCGGAGGGGAGCCAGGGAGAGGGGGGACTGGCTCAGGAGGGGGGGGACCCAACCCTGACCTGGAACCTCCGCGTTCCTGGGCATGCTGCGTCGCCCCAAGCCCCGATCTGGGGGAACCAGAAGGTACCGACACGGCTACGCGGACCTCTCCTGGGGTTCGTCCTGACCAGAGTCCCACCAGACCTCTGTGCGTAGGTGGCCTAGGGAATTTCCTCTAACAATTGTCCGCGTGCTGTCCCGCCCAACCGCCCCTGTACTACTCCAGCCTTCTTTTTCCATTGCGGTGCGGCCCTGCTTCGGGATTGGTCCAGTCACGCCTGTGACGCCTACTGGACCCCTTCACAGGGAGGGACGCGGTGGGAAAGTCAAGTTCGCAACTTCGCTTGAACTTGAAATAGCGATAAGCATGCGAAGTACTGGAAGAGATGGGAAGCCCAAAATAATCCAACTATGAACGACCAGGCAAGCCGAATTGGCGAAATGATGAGAAGCAGTGTGAGATAGGATAGCGCAGGATGGGAGAAAACTCACTAGAGAGCTACAGGGGCACCTTTGGTTAGGAATATCTGGGAGAGACCATGGCACGGGATAAGGACAGAATGTTCCCCTATTGCCATGGACCGGTGGGATAAGACCGAACTCAGCCCCCCACCTGTTTGGCCTGGGGATGAGACCATGTGGTCCCCCCGCCGCCAACGCACTGACAAATTTCACCCGCACCACTTCGTGCTAAATCCTCCAACTCCCTCCTTCCCCTTCGAGGAGGGATTTACCCCTCCCCCCTACCCCCTCCCCTGGACCTGGACGGGGCGCCCCGCGAAGTGTCAAAGGGTATTTTTTCGCCCGAGATGGCTCCCAGAGGGCCTCAGAGAGCCCAAGATGACCTCCAAGATGGCTCAAGGTAGACCGATGCCTCAAGTCGGCTCCCAAGATGCTCCAAGAGGCCCCAAGAACGCTCCAAGACGCCTCCGAGACCTCCAAGAAGGTCTACAAGAGGCCAGAATCCTTCCAAAACCTAGGAAAAATCAATGTGATTTGCTTTCTTGCCTTTTCGCTTCCGATTGCCATCTGAGGCCTCAAGATGGTTCCGAGATGGCCCAAGAGGGCCCCAGGAGAGGCCCAAGCGAGCCCCAAGAGCGCCCAATATCGATCCAAGAGCGCTTCCAGATGGGTCCGAGAGACGATGTTTGTGGCTCCCGAGGGGACGGCTAATTTGAGCTCCCCTCTTTTTTGATCGATGTCCTCCAAGATGGCCCCAAGAGCGCCCCTGAAGTTCCCAAGCGCGCCCAAAGAGGGCCCCCAGAGGCGCCCAGACGGCCCCAAGAGGCGTCCTGGAAGCCTCCAAGGAGCTCCCAAGAGACCCCCAGGAGACTTCAAGAGGATGCCCAGGCACCCAAGACGCTCAAAGACGGCCCTGGGCTCGCCAAGGTGCCCATCCTCCTCCTCCTCCTCCTCCTCCTCCTCCTCCTCCTCCTCCTCATCTTTGTCCACTGACTCTTCCTCCTTCCTCCTCTTCGCCCTCCTCCTCCTTCTCCTCCTCCTTCTCCTCCACCATCCTCCCCCTCTTGAGGTATCGGACGGCTTCCCCCGCCCTTTGTTTCTTATGCGTGCTCCCCCACTTCCCTGATCACCTCAGTTCCCTTGGGAATCGTTTCTGGATGGGCTGGTGGGGATACTATTTTTGATCGCAACCGTAAGCGGACAGCCGCGCGGCGTCGTGAAAGGCTGGTGGGGATACTTTTTTGGGTCGCGGGCGGACGCGGAAGCGCAGGCGCCGAGTTGAAAGGTCCGGGCCACGGGCCTATCAAATTAGCAACGCGCGAGCCTAAGAGCACAGCAGCCGAGCCCGGAATCAGAACCTGCCGCCGGTGGGGCCGCAGGCTGACGCTGAGCTGGCTGAGCTGACTGCACACGGCGCTGGTGGGGATACGCGAAGGTCAACACTTTCAAGGCGTGGTGACGAGGGCCTCCCAGGCGGCCCAAAAAGGCCAAAACGAGGCAAGTGTTGGGGTATCTGTACTTTCCCCTCTTGTGGTCATCGTCCCCCGTTGCGTCACGCCCGAGCCCTCCTCCCCGCGGTGCGTAAAGGCAACTCCTGAGAAGTCTTAGAAAGAACGACGAAGAGCTATTAGGCCCGATCGAGGGGCCGTTTCGCTGGATCAGGTCGGATTAAGCCGGGGACCAGCCGGATTTAGCCAAGGACTAGGCCAGACTAAACGTGATTAAGCTGGATCGAGCAAGGTTAAGCCGGACAAGGCTGGATAATGCCGGATGAGGCTATATACCAGCGCCGATGCTGAATAACACGAGCGGCGAACGTATCCATATCCACGCCCTCGCGGTCTGGATTCTGGGGCGCGATCCCGCGGATACGCGGTCGCACGGGTACCTTCCGCGCGGGGCATCCACGAAAAAGCGCTCCGCATCCACGGGGTCGCGGCCCAGGGGCCGGTCCGCGAGGCTGCGGATACGGATATGTTCTTCGCCTATGCGAATCAGAGGCCTCCCAGGTGGGGTCGGTGTAGATGGGGATGGAGGATCGCTCCACATCGTCGATGCGTCACCGACGCATCGGCGATACATCGGCGACGTCGGAGATGTATGAGCCACGTTGGCGTGGAGAAACTCGTGCTCCACATCGAGCCGCGTCGCCGATGCATCGGCGATGCGGCGCGATCCTCCGACCCAATCTGCTCGGACCCCATCTGGGAGGCCCAGGGGTCGTCTACACGCAAGAGTTGATGGGCCTGTTTTCCACCACCACTACCATAAGTCGGATGGGGGGAAGGAGGAGGAGGAGGAGGAGGAGGAGGAGGAGGAGGAGGAGGAGGAGGAGGAGGAGGAGGAGGAGGAGGAGGACCCCTTCCCCCTCCAACTTATGGTGGTGATGGTGGTGGAAATCAGGCCCATCAAGAGTGGCCCCAGGCAAGCATGCAGGCCTTTGGTGCGCGACTTTCGGGGGGCGCGGGGAGGCCGGGCCCCGGGCGCGCAGGCCGCTGCTGCCACGTCGCAGTCGGCCATCTGCGGACCCCCGGTGCGCCCGCACCAAAGAGAACCCTCCGGCGAAAGGTCCCTCTCCCACGGTGCAGCCGAGAAAGAGCCTGACCTCCTGGTCGGAGGGCGCCAACTATACACCAACACCGATCCTGGCCAGGACCACCCTGGGCCCAGCATCGGTGTATACGCCCTCCTGACTGGGGCAGGAAGGCATATGCACCGATCCTGGGCGCAGGACCGGCCTGGCCAAGATCGGTGCAGGTGTAGAGTTGGTGCCCTCCGACCCGGGAGCTGCATCCCCACGGGTGCCCTCCAGACTCGAGCCCGTCGCCGCCCGCGGCGCCGCCCGCGGCGCCGCCCGCGGCGCCGCCCGCGGCGCGCCGCAGCAGGCGCTGCAGCGGGCCCGGGCGCTGCGCCTCTCGGGGGCGGCGTGCGGCGCGCGCCCGCCGAGCTCCCGCCGACCTCCCGAGAGAGCACCGAGGGGCTGCGGGGAAGGGGGCCGGAGGGCCTCGCCGCTGCCTCCGCTCGCGAGGCCGGTCGGGCCGGGGCCGTCGCAGCCGTGGCCCCTTTGCCTCGGGGGGGCCGCTGCGGAGCGCTCAGGGACATCGAGATCCGACGTCTCCGGCAAGAAGAAACCACGAACCACAGCCCAGAGCCCCACAGTCAAGCTGATAGAGCAAGGATGCGCGATGTAAAGATGCATGCCCCTTGGGCGCCCGTGTCGGAGCTTTGCCGAACGTGGCGGGCCATCGAAAGTAATCAAGGGTGGACCAAAGAGGCAAGGATACTCATTCTAATACATACCGTCTCGGTTTAGTAGCCTTTTCGTGGCCTTTAGCAGCCTTCAGTGTATTATTAGCGGCCTTTGGTGACCTGCAATCGCCTTCGAGTAGCTTTTAATGGCCATCAACTGCATTTAGCATGTTCTAGTGGCCTTCAGTGAATGGCTTTTAGTTGCCTCTACAAAAGTGCCAAGAAATGCACGATGCTTGCTTTAATGAACTTTCAACAAGGCCCGCTTAAGAAAAGCCTCTCCGTTCCCTCCGATTGTAAGCCGTGCGCGTGTTCACTACAGTCAGAACTGATAGCAAGGGCGCGCGATGAGGATTCAGGCCCCTTGGACGCCCGTGTCGAAGCTTTTGCGAGCGCGGCGGGCCATCGAAAGTAGTCAAGGGTGGACTTAAGATGCACGGATGCAAGGGTACCCTTGGGAAGGTTTCCCATCCTTGCCATCGGTTGAGACTTTAAGGTGTCTGGGCGCTGTAGGCTCCCAAGAGAGCCCCACGAAGGGCTCCAGAGCGTCATCGTCGTCGTCGTCGCCGCCGCCCTTGAGGGTCGGTGGCACCGGCCCTAAGGCCTTCCCGATCCACTAAATCAACTGGGCGCTGCTCCGTAGGGCTTCGCAGACACGCCACAGGACCACGTATAGTTTGTAATGGCCTGGACGCTTCTCTGGGACGGCAGGTGTTGAAACAAAGATGTGTACAATATAGACACACGAATATACACTGCGTGTGGGCCGCCATTTGCCAATGAGTGGTGGACAAACAGACCGCTACCTCCGAGACCGCTTGTTATTTTCGACGATAGCCAGAGCTATCAGGTGGGGAGGGAAGATGACGGCCGATAGCCTCACCCTTTCGCTCTGTGCAGCCCCACATATGCCCGCGCGAACCAGTACCGCGTGCCCCCTTCATCCGGAGGACGTGGGAAGGGGGGAAGGGACAGGGCGGGCCCCGTAACCCGGGTTCTCGCCGGACCCCACAACAATAGCACACTCCCCCGCAAGAGCGGCTCCCGCCCAGCACTCCGCCACCCCACCCGAGCCAGCTCGCTTGTCGCGGGCGGGGCAGCCCGGAAGCGAGGGGCCGGCCGAGTGGACCCCTTGGACAGGTCGTGGGGAAGTGAGAGGAGGGAGGAGGCATGGGGGAGGAGGAGGTGGAGGAGGAGGAGGAGGAGGAAGAGGAAGAGGAGGAGGAGGGGGAGGAGGACGGGGAGGTCCTGGTCGGATGGAGTCCCTACTGTCCCTTCGTCTCAATTGGAAACTGAATCCCCCGGTGGTCGGGGGGGGCCCCCGCGCAGCCGCCCGCGGCGCGCCGTTAGGCACGCAGGGCGTCGGCGCGGACGTGGGGTCGCGCTGACGCGCGCTGCGGTAAGGGGAGGCCCCAGGCAGGAGTGACTGTGGTGCGCGGCATGAATGTACTTCCGCTTTCCCTTCGGCTACGTGACGACGTACAAGAGCTGGGTCACCCAACTTCGTGTATCGCGCCCCGCGATGCGCGACGCGCGACTATCTTCGCGCCATCGCGCCCTCGCATCGCCCATTAAATGAAAAGGCACCCGCTCTGGCCCAGACCGCGATGCGCGGACCGCGATGTGTCGTCGCGCCCGTGGTTTCGGGCTAGAAGATGATGGTGCAGGGCACGCGTTGTGCGGGATTCATTCTGCAATCGGCCATGTATAGCTTTGATGTAGTGGTGACGCAGGTGGGCATCTGGATGATTTTGCCTGGCCGAGCAAGCGGTGCGTATGTCTCGCGCGTTTGCCCACGCGCAATTTGAATGGATGTGCGAAGCGTTTCACGTCTGGCGCGGCTATCTTCGCAGAGCGCTCAGTCATCAGCGACTGCTGCACGCCAGAATGACCCCAGGCAACTGTACCCTTTGGCGCGTGGTTTGGGGAGTCTGCGGAGGGCAATCCACCGCGAAAGCCGGTGCAGGCCTTTAGCGGGGACCATCTCAGAGTCGGGAAACATCAAGCTGGAATGGGCGATACATCGCCGATTGGTCGGCGACAGGCGCCTGATAGCGTTCAGGGAGGGATGGGCTATCGGCCCCCTGTCGGAAATGAGTGAGCGATTGTGGGATGATGCGTCTCCCTTTAAGCCCATTTGCCCATAGCGCTGCCCCAGGAAAGATCTCAAGGATGAGACCTCGGCTCTCCCCTAGCGTGACCTTTGGTGCACGGCCTTGCGGGTCCGCGGGGAGGGCAGATCCGCGCTCGCGAGCCAGTGCAGGAGGGACCCCTGCTGGCCCGCTCCAAAGATCCCTCTGGCGAGAGGCCACTCTTACGCGTGCGTGTAACCGATCTCCCCCCAACATCTCCGGCGGCGACACATTTTCATAACCCCAGCGCTTTGCGTCGACGTCGTCTTGGGGCCTCATCATCAAGGCCTGTGGCCATCAAACAATTTTAGGGCGGTAGCGGGCCGCGCAGGAACAAGGAGCACACAACTACGACTAGGGGAGGAGGAGGGCGGCCGGGGAGGAGGGACGCGGGAGGAGGCCGCAGGCGTAGAGAATCTTCGCCACGAGGGGTGCGCAGGCGGCCTCGGGCACCGAAAACCTTTGTACTGGAACCAAATCTTTTCGAGCACATCGATTCGCTTCCGGTACACTTCGCGATGCCAACATTCTGGCCAGGAAGCTCACTCCAAGCGTACCGTCTCTCATCGGTGGCGAAGCGGCCCTTCCAAAGGCAAGCGCCTCTACGGTCGCGGGTGATCGTGGGCGTCCCGTCCACTATGCTCCCAGGAGGCGGACTGGCCTCCCTTCTTCGTACTCCTCATTATCCTCACTGTTTGGCCCTCGCGCGCCATACAAAACGAATGAGTGCCAACAGTGGTTCGGGCTTCTCTGGGGTCATTCTATGTCGCGCAGGTGATACCACACAGCAATTCCGATGGAGCTGCCCGAGCCCAGGCACCTGGGGGCTGGACACATCAGGACTGGTTGTTGCGCCATTTTGAGTTCTGGGCATCCGGAAGCTGGGTGCGGGCCCCAGGACCGTCAACTAACCGCCAGGGGTGAGAAAGGTGCCCCGAGGGTCTCGAACAAAAACGTGCCGCCAGGTGTTCGGGGACCACCTGCCCACCTGCCGTGGTTCGTCTGCAGAGTGACAACGCGCCTTCTCGCTGTTGCGTGATGGCTCGGCCCAATTGTCATCACTGTTTCGACAACTTTGTTGCGCAATGTCGCCGGATGCCACTTGAGTACCCCGGGTCTCCGGAAGCCCAACAAGGGGCAGAAACGCCCAAACATGTCGATCATCGATCCTCCTCGATCCCCGGACCTTGATCAGCGAGCCTCCGAAACGACCTGGCCGCCGACCTCCCTTGACCCTGTCTCCCTCCGGTCCTTCCTAGCCTCTTCAATCGTAACTCAACAGCTGACCTCAAACAGTACGACCCAGCAGTCGAAACGCCGAGAACAACGCGTTCTCCCACCGAGGCGGGTTTGAAAAGACGTGTGCGCCCTCTAGCGCCGAGCGCCCGCGCAGCCCTGCGGCGGCAGTCAGGGCTCCTCCTCCCTGCCTTCCCCTTTCGCCCTCTGCCCCTTTCGTCTCTCTCTCTCTCTCTCTCTCTCTCCCTTTTTTGTGACGTTGCCCGGACCTGAAGCACGGGCTTGATCTCTCTGCCACTCTCCTCCATCCCTTGTCCTGATAAACAGATTCTCCCTGCCGCAACCCCAGGCGTGTCGGCGGCGTTTCGCCCGAGACCGCCTCGCCATTCATGATCTTGCAGCTTGACGCGTGCAACAGCTTCACGGATAGAGGGCGGATCTTTTTTCAAGAAGTGGTTCTCGTGGTAGTGCCGTGTACATTGCTCTGATTAAGCTTGCAGGAGCTTGAAGGATGGAGGGCGGGTCGCTTTCATAATGTGGTTGTAGCTTTAGCGCCGTGTACATTCGTCTAGAAAGATCACATCCATTTCACGAATTGACGGCGGGCGGCTTTCGAGCTGTGGCTCTCTCATTCGCGCCGCGAACATATGTCTAAACATCTGGCTCTCGCCCTCACACCGCGCACCATCGTCTTAAACGTATGCAGCAGTTTCGCGGCTGGAGCACGGGTCGTTTTCAAAATGTGGTTCTCGCGCTAGCGCCGCGCACATTATTTTCCAAAGCTCGCAGCAGCTTCAAGGATGAAGGGCGGCTATTTTTCAATATGTGGCTCTTGCCTTAGCGCCGCGTGCAGTCGTCTTAAACAATTGCAGCAATTTCAAAGATTCGTGAGGCCGAAGTCTCTGGGCTGGATTAATGGCACGGTTTAAGTTTCAGGACGCAACAGTCACATTGATTCGCAGTGTGAAACTCCCAAGAACGTTGTGTTCTGGCACGACATAGGATTGTCAAGATGCAGCAGTCACGTCGATCAACAGCGTTGAAGTCCCAGGGTCCGCGTTTTGGCAATATGGGGATTATCAGAAGGTTGTCTTCTGATGGGCCTCTTCCCAGAATGAGAACACAGTGTTGTAGGGACCTACGGAGAGGGAAGATGGAGGGAGGGTTGATTGCAACACCGCAAATGCGTGTTGAGTCTACACGGGTCCTCTGGCTCCTTCTGTTCCTCCTCCTCTTGCCTCTCCTCCTCCTCCTCCTCCTCCCTCCTCCTTCTCCTCCCCTCCCTCCTCCTCTCCTCCTCCCCTCCTCCTCCTCCTCCTCCTCCTCCTCCTCCTCCTCCTCCTCCCTTCTCCTCTCCTCACCCCCCTCCTCTCCTCTCCTCCCTCCCTCCCCCCCTCCTCCCCCTTCCCGGGAGCGCCCGTGTGGAGACCACGCCGGCGGCCGCCGGCCCTCCCACCTCTCGTCGAGGCCACGGCCGACGAGGGCCCCGCCATCCAGGAGGGCGCGGCGCCTCCTCGACGGCCCTGACGGCGGCGGCGAGGGCGATCGCGCAGGACTCCCCACGGGCGCGGCCCGTCTCGACCAGCAGCAGCACGGCGCGGACCCACTGCGCCCCTCGGGGCCAGGCGCGGCGCGGGCCCACAGCAGCAGCAGCGGCACGGCGCGGGCCGAGCAGCACGGCGCGGGCGGCGTGGGCAGCACGGCGCGGGCAGCACGAGCGACGGCAGCAGCCACAGCGCGGCGCGGGCAGCACGGCGCGGGCCCACAGCAACAGCACGGCAAGGCCACGGCGCGGGCGGGGCCCGGCGGGGCCCCGGGCCTCCGGGCTCCGGGCGCCCTCGAAACGAAGGGCGGACGCCGGCCCCGGCCGCCGGGGAGCTACTCGGGATGCAGGGCAGCTCCGTCGGGAGGGGTCGGGCCTTCCCGGGGCCCCGAGTGGAATTGGGTGAGGGCACCGGGTGCCCGGAGTGGCCACCGAGGTGTGGGATGGTGGGGAGCAGGCGCGGATCGGCCGGGGGCGTAGGACGACGACGCTGACGATGACAGCACGGGGGCCGAGGAGGATGCACAGCGTCGATGATGACGTCTTCCTTCCCGCCCTACCCCTGAAGCAGATCGGTGGCAATCTTTGCGGCCCGTCCGATCGCACGGGCCTCATCAGGGAGAACTGCTGTACGGCCACCGCCTTTTTATTGTTGGTTTTGGCACGCAACAAACGGTGAGTGTGAAAGACAACCACTATTTCACGCAGGCTCCCTTCCGAGGGGGTCGCGAGAGCAAGTGGTGACCGAGAAGGAGGAGAAGGAGCAGGAGGAGGAGAGGGAGCAGGAGGAGGAGGAGGAGGAGGAGGAGGAGGAGGAGGAGGAGGAGGAGGAGGTAGAGGAGGAGGACTAGAAGGAGGACAATCGAGGATCGAGGTTTCTGGACGTTTTTGGCCCTCTGTCGGAGCCGATGGGGGGCCTCTGGAAGGCCCTCTAGTGCATTCCTCAAATGTCGGCGCGCCGTTTGTTCTCCACGCGCCCAAATGGACAACGACGACTCCACGGCAAATCCACGGCAAGCCCTGCGCCCCGCGCCCCAAATAGACGCAGCCCGCACCGCGGCAAACCCACCGCGAATCCGCGTCCGAGGCTGAATTTGCTCTGGTGGCCGAGGCGCCCTCCCCAAGACGTAAGGCCGCGTGTCGGAATTAACGGCGCGGCGACATATCCCCGCGACGATACGATTTGTTCCAATCCCGACGTTTCTCTTGGACTTGGGCCTCTGGGGGCCGTTTCCGGGCCCTGGGTCCATCAATCTGAGTCTAGGACGAGGCACTGCCCTGTGGGTGTCGGCCGGGACTTCTGAGCCCACGCTCAAAGAAGCAAGCACGCCGACGGGTGTGTGGGTCTTGGACTTCTACCCTGTCCTGCGAGCCTGGGGGGGAGTGGGAAGGGGCGGGCCTTCACAGAAGGCTCGGAAGCCCCCCAGCCTTCTTAGAAGTGTTCTAAGCCTTCCCCGAAGACGTAGAAAACCTCTCAGGCCTTCTGAAAGGCCTCGCCGCCCTCTGAAAAATCCTTTTCCTTCTCACTTCCACCCTTCGCTTGCCGCTGATACCCCCAGGGCGCTCATCCAAGAGGGATGCATGTTGTTGTTTGTTTGTGTGTTTGCTTTTCATATAAAAGGAGAAGGCCTATCTGAATCGAGATGTTGGCAGACGAGCGGCAAATCACGGCAACCAAATAGCGGCAAGCAGCGGCACTCGCCCTGCCCCAACCGTCCACCAATCACACCTATTCGCAATTAAAGGCAGCTAGACTAAACGACAAACAACCTCTGGTGAAGTTCAAAAGTTCCACTTTTGTGCAAACAAAGGCGGGACGGCCGGCCGAGACGGCGGAGGGGGGAGGCGAAAGAGGCGCCGTACACTCTGCTCAACGCGGAGGAGGGGGAGGAAGAAGTTGGGAGGACGAGGAGGATCACGACGCAGAGGAGGGGGAGGAGAGCTCGCCCCGAGAGGGGGGGGGGAGGATCACGGTGCAGGGGTTGTTGGCTGCACGCGAAGGGTGGCCCTGGGCAAGGGCGGCCTTCTGGCGCGCGGCTTGCCAGGGGCGGCGTGCGATGCGGCAGCAGCGGCCTGCGAGCTTGGAACAGCTTCGCGCCCGCACGACCCCAAAGCTGCGCACCGGCGGCCTCTCCAGCGACGGGTCACTCTTACGTGCGTAGCCGATGGTGGAGGAAGGGGGGGCGCAAACTAGTCTGCAGCTCGAAACTCAAAAGAGGAGGCTCGAGGGGCCCCTCTAGAGCCCAGGAGACCTCAGGCCGCACTCGATGAGCCCACAGCCGATGAGACCCCCCCACCCCCACGCCCCGCCCTTCCGCTGATAACTGACACAACAAGAGATCAGCGTCGGAGAACCTGGCCGCGTTTCATTCCACGCGCTCCCTGCTCGGTCCACGCGCGCGACCTGTTCTACTTTCTTTTTGAGCGCTACTCCCATCCCCAAGGAAAAATTTGCGGGGGCAAATAAAAACCTACCGCTGGACAGCGCGGCGCCACCGAGAAACGGGCGGTGCCCTAAAGGGGAGGGGGGGGGGGCCAGGCGGGAAAGCAGCGGTGCCTCAGCCCCGCCCCCGCGCGCCCCTAACTCTGCGGGGTGGCGCCGCGGGGCGCCCCCTCCGCCACCGCCGCCTACCGGCGGATGGAGGCGCCCGGCCCCCGCGAAGCGGCCCAAAACTGACCTCAGAAGACGGGCCCCCCACACCATGAAAAAATACGGGGCGGGGTCCCGAGGTCCAAAACTTAAGCCCTTAGGGAGCGCCGTTTGTCCTGGAGGTCGGGGACGGAGGCTCGGGCGAGGAGGGAGGGGGCGGGACCTCGACGCTCTCTGCGCTTTGCCGGCCCCGCTCACTTCCGCGTCTGTTTCTTTTTCCCCCCGTCTGTTTGCTCGGGCCGCCCTTGAATGCTAACGGCTCCGCCAGTTTCGCGGCCCTGCCCCCCGTCGCGACGTCGCGCGCGAGGCGGGCGCCCGCAGCTGCGAGCGCGCCGTTCTCGCGGAGCACCGTCAAGGCCAGCTTGTGCCGCGGGTAGTGGTCGAGCGCGAAGGTCAACTTAACTTCGCTGTCCTCGTTCGCGTTATCGTCGTCCTTCGGCTGCCCCGTCTTCGCCCTGAAGCACCGCGCGGCCATGAACTTGGCCACTGGGAGGTGAACCTTCTTGCCCACGTTGACCAGCACCCCCGGCGCTTCCTTGGCCACCGTCGGGTCCAGGCCCTGCTCGGCCACCGCCATCACCTGCTCTTTCTTGCTCTCCACCGCCTCTGCGATGCGGAAGATCACCGCCGTCGTCGGGGCGTCTGGGCTCTTCCCCAGCGGGTTCCCCATGAAGGTGGTCTCCTCCTCCGTGGACTTCTCCTTGGCCTTGCGGCCCTCCCTCGTCCTCGTAGTGCGTAAGCGCCTGGCCCAGCGCCGCCTCCAGCTTGCGCAGCGGCTCGAGCGTCGCCGCGAAGTTGTCGTCGCGGCGAGCAGCCCTCGCCATGTCCCAATGCTGCAGCGCCAGCCGCGCCAGCGCCTTGCCGAGCGGACCCAGGATGTCGCCCTCGGCCTTGTCCTCGCCCGCGCCGCCCACGGCCGCCGACGACCTCCTCTGGCCGCCGCTCGCTGCCTGCACCTCGCTGATCGGCTTGAACATCTGGGCCAACCAACCGCTGCGGCCCTGGGCTGGGCTCGCGTTGACCCGAGGCCCGGGGCTGCCACCGGCTCGCCCTGAGCCTCAACGCCTTCGGGGCGGGCAGTGCATCGACTATGATTGATGTGTCTGACCAGTGAATCGTTCCTCGTGCAATGTTTTGCGCAGTAAGGGCATCGCTTCTGTTGCAAGTCGTCATCAGCTCGAACCATCGCCGTCGGATTTGCGCACACCTGATGAGCCGCGAGTCTGCGGCTGGCAAGCCCGTTCTCTCCCTTGCACATTTTCCCGCGCACATCACAATCCAGCAACGAAGCTACAAGAAGTTCCACCGCAGCGGCAGAGTAGCCGAAAGTAAACACGCGGCGAAGGCTCCGCGGCTCCAAGGAGGCCAGCCACTTCAGCCATGGCTCGGCCAGCTCAGGAAAATCTCCACGGAGCAGGACAAGTCGCCGCGCTCCGAGTTGGCCGCGGGCATCAAACGACAACCACATATGTCGCATGTCCTCTTTAAAAGGGCCAGCGTGCCCGTCGGCCCCGTCGAAGGAGAACCTGCCAAAGATGGTTGCGCGCACTGCGCGGGTCGGGTCGCGCGGTTCCGCCGTGGGCTCACGAGACACTGGCCGTAGTACTTGGCGCGACCATGTCAGCCGCCTCCTCAGTTGGGTGCCTCCACTCTCGCGGTTGGTCTTCTTGTGCCGGTGTGCTGTTGAGTGAAGTAGGTCCCGGATATTGCGAACTTGCTGACCTTCCACTGGCGCCGGCTCCCGCTATGAGAGTTTCGCCACCTCCAGGCAGCACGGGCCAACTGAGCGCACCAAGGATTTCCACACTCTGATCTTTTCAACTTGGGGCTAACACCTCCTCGAAAAGCACGTCGCCGCATTCGAGCGTGGGCCGCGTTCGCCGCCTGGATCCCGTCGGCCACCTCAACCTGGTAGCTGCCAGCGGCCGCCATCTGTGCGCCGAGGCACTTGACCGTCGGCCGGGGGCGAATGGGGGGGCAGATGTCGAATTGCCAAGTGACGCCGCCTGTCGCGCGAGCCCCAGTGCGCTTCTGCCTCTACTTACTGCCCGCCCCTGACGGTATCGAGAGGAACTCGGTCTTCCCCCCGTTCACCTGCATGCCGCCGTGCTCAATCTCGCCGTTGACAGCCAACTCCCTTGAACGTGAATAGGCCATCTAGAAACTTCAAGTGCGTTACGTCCACGCATTCGCAGGCGTCCTCCTCCAAGCCGTCGTTGTTCCTGATGCGCATGGGCGCGGGGTCGAAGTACACGGGGATACTCGAATACCCAACCGCAGATTGAACCTCTGCCAGTTGCGCCACTAACCTGTCGTGCGCCGCCACGAAAAGACCTGGATTTTCAACTCCTCCGTGGCGGACCCCACGTCATCCCCGTGTCCTGGCCGTCGGCTCGCCCGTCTTCGCGCATCTAAACAAGT